TTCTCAGTTGATAACCTACAATCAACCAGAAGAGAAAACTGAGCTAGGAACAGACCTTAGAGACTTTCTCGCTAAATATAGATATTCTTCCAAACTACCCTCCAGTATTCTATTAATTATTTATCCTTTTTTTCCCTTTTTATTTTTTAGCGTGACACTTCACATTTATCAGATGAAATATCTAAGAGGCCACAGATTGTACTGCTAAGCATATTCCTCGTGTTTCGTTGTAGCTTGTTTCGCCTTTCTCATTATACTGCAGATGCTTAAATCCACCCTGTATGCAGTAATGGGGATGAGATTTCCCACAGTGGAACATTGCTGACTTAATGTTGCATGATGAAATAGCACAGATTTATATTTAATATTTCTTTTCAAGCAGGCAGCTCAGTGCAAGTCTTCTCTGCTTGTGGCAGTTTCTCACAGCAAAGCAGTCAAACCGAGGCAGGTTTTTAAAGCTGCAGGAAGTTTATATAATGCTTTATACTCGGTATACCCTAATGCTTTATACCCTATGAAACACAAATGGGATTTATTCCTGGAAGGCCCCCGAGTTTAGAGCGTGCCCAACACGCGTTCCTGTGGATGTGGCTGCATCCGAGCTGCGCAGGGAGGTGTCGTGGGGCCTTGGTGGCACTTGGTAGTGTGAATATATGAGGTCTGTGCAAACCCATTGCCAGCGCGTAGGTGGAAACTGCTGGGCTGAGGCCGGGCAGCTCGGTGCACGCACGGGGCAGGTTTGCGATGCAGGCACTGCCGCAGTGTGCACGGCAGTGAGCCCGAGCCACGCTGCCGGCGTCAGCCCATCTGCAGAGCTCGCTGGAATTAGAGCCCCTTTCCGCAAGAGGTTCCTAATTGCGAGTAAATGCCTCATTAGCGCCGCGCAGATCAATCTGAGAGCATCAGTAAACACAAACAAAATAATTAATGACTTGCAGGTAGGGTGATGCGTTATTCTGCTGTTGCAGTTGCTTCGTGGGAGGGAGGAGGTGGCACCCGCTGGGGTGGCGGGAACACGGACRCCCATCGTGAGCCCTGCCTGGGTGCTGGCGCCTGCGGAGCCCCATCTTTTGCAAATGGGGTAGAGAGATACCCTGGAGAACACTTGGGCATTTCCACACGGGGCTCTTGCTGGAAGCCAAAACTTTGCAGGTGTCACTGACTGTGTCTTAGGAAGGGATTTAAATTACCARTTTATTCATCGTATGTCAGATGGATTTTGGTGTGCAAAGCCAGAGTGGTGCCCCTCGAGCCGCTGTCCCTCCGTGCAAGAAGGTGCGGGAAGCGTCGCCTTCCCTGGAGCGYGGGAGGAGCGGGATGGAGCGCGGGCGCCCAGCGGCCTCCGCACAAATGGGAGTTATTTTGATCCAGCTCTTAAAGAGTTGTCTCCACACGAGCACCCACGCTATTACGATTCTGAATATATTAGGTGTAATGTTGCCGCATAAATCTGTGGAACCTGGGAACAATGGCATTTTTTTTTTTTTTTAATTGAGTGCTTTTCGTGGGTGACAAGTTGGGGTTGGGAGTTGGTACGGAAAAGCTGTGCGTGACGTGGGCTGCTTAAAGCAGCCTTGCTTCCTTAGGGCCCTCTTTGGGAGGCTGCTTGGAGAAGGCTCCTGCTGAGCAGCTCGCCAGCACARAGGGCTCCTCTGGATGTTTGTCTTTGGGAGCAGGATGCTTCTCTGGGCTCCCATTTTGGTTTTGAAGGTTATTGCAAATAACTCTTCCATTACAGAGAAAAAATGCTGTAACCTCTGGAAGGGGGAGTTGTGAAAAATGGCAATAAGGTCTTCAAATATTGCTTATTCCATGCTGTCTGCAGACACGGCTTGCTCTGTGTGCCAGCAGTGCCCGGGCGCCGCGCAGGGCCCCGTGCACCCAGACCCGGCTGCATCTGTTCATGTATTTCCCGGGAAATTGTGGGTGTTTTGGGGCAGTGTCGGTGAGAAAGCAGCGTGGCCAGGGCAGTGCTTGGTGCGCAGGGAGGCAGGATGCGCCCGCGCTCAACCCCGTCTCCCGCACACCTACGTGCAGCACAGCGTTCGCATACTGCAAGAATGCCTCCAAACGCTCGGCACGGCCCGGCGCCGTGACAGCAACGGCGCCGTTGTCCTTAGGGCGCCACGCGAGCCTCCCGCTGACACAGTTCCTGCGGAACGACGGGCTATTTTTAGCCGCGTTGCTTGGAAGTTGGCTTCCCCGCGGGCGCCGCTGCAGTGCCGCGGGGCGCTCCGCGCTCGCAGGGCTGCCGGGAGCCRCGGGCGGGCGGCGGGTTTTGTTCCTCGCATCATCTTTGCAGACCGTGATGTTTGTTTTAAGGGACCCCGGGGCCGTGCATTTGCAGGACACCATGTGCTGTAGCAAGGCAGGCAGCTCCCAGTGCACGCGCGAGGCGGGAGCCCAGCACAGCCTTCCAAAATAGCCCCTTTTCCTGCAGGGAGGAAAAACAGAGGTAAAAAAGCCAAGCAACCCCCGGCCACGTTCTCAGCATAAATTGCAGTCGTGGCGTTCTGCATGCATTAAACATTAAGCACTGTGCACTGGCGGCAGCTGAGAATCTGGCCTTTGTATTTGTTATTTTTCCAAAATATGGAAAACAGTGCAAAGCTGAGTGCTGAGCACAGAGCAGCCATTCCCCATGCTGCCGTGCTCGTTTTTCCTTTTCTCCCTGCTCTCCTTTGGCCATGACCGCCCGGGYCCCTTGGCCGTGTCCCATATGCCATATACTGCATGCTAAGCACAGCTCGCGGGCGGCCTGGGGAGCATCACACGGTCTGCAGGGCGTCAGAGCACCGCCTGCCTGCCCGGGGCCATGAAAAACTGCCCCCAGAACAGGTCCAGCCGATAAAAAATGCATTTTTATTGGCTGTCACTACTATTTTTTAATGTCAAGATAGCTCTTGGGAGAACAGCACGGTCTGCATGAACCAGGGAGGTATTTATAGCAGCAGAGCATAAACAGTGTCTAAATGGAGAAGCAAAGCAGAAGCCGGGGCTGGCTGCTCCGTATGATGAGGAATTAGGATGTTTAGCATAAGACTGGTGTTTGCCTGGTGCATAAATGTGCGCTTGGTTGTGGCTTCACCCTGCTGTCCTTCTGCATCTCTGCACACCTCGTTATTAATATACATGCTTTTGGTTTTTATACTTGGACGTTTAAGCTGGTTTATCCTTGGCTTAATGCAGCCTGTGCCCTGAAATGGTGATGGAGGAGTGTTGATGTGAGAAGCAGCAGCTATTTTCTCCCGAAAGGGGGGAGCTCTGCTCGTTTCCCTTGCCCTGCAGCCCCCCAGGACGCCCTGCCRGGGCTGCGTGTTTCCCGGGGTGCAGAGCGGTTTGTCTTCCTTGCAAACAGAAAGGAAAGGCCGGAGAGCATCCTTCACAGTCACTTCTTTTAACGAAGTGTTGAATCATTTTGGAGCTCAAGTTTTGAGCAACCATTTTCTGGCTTTTCGCACCAGTAAGACACTTATTTCCATTGAAAATCCATGGGAGGTGAGTGGCCAGATGCTAGCATCAGGATGCCACGCTGTGACTTGGACGCACGTGAAAGGAAGCAGCTTGTCTTTGCCAGGTTTGTGGAAAGCCACCGTGTCCCTTAGCTGCAGTATGGGGTACCCAAGAGAGGGCTGTGTCTGTGCGCGTCACGCACTGCCTCTTCCTAACGGTGCAAAGATCCCTGGAGTCCCACGGGAGCAGAGAGGAACGTGGCTTTGTGTAAATAGCATCGCATCAAGGTTGCTCCTCGCCTGCATGGGCCGCGGATTGCAGGTGCAAGGATGGCAGAYGGGGCATTCGGCCTCCAGTGAGACCAAATCTTTCTTTTTCAGAGAAAGCAGGTGCTGAGGGGAAAATACGTTCTTTAAAAAGGAAAAAAAAAAAATCCTTTTGTGAAACTCTGCACCGAAGAGCAAGCCCAGTGGGCACATTTAACCCCTGCTCGCCACACAGGACACATCCTGAGACGTGTCGCGTCCTTTGCCACCTTCAGCAGAAAGTCGCTGCCCTTTGGTACCGCGAGCAGAGCTTTTGCAGACCATGCTGTTAAAATAATAGAAAGGATTTCTTGGCTGCTTAGTTTGTTTTGCATGCTGGAATATCTGCTTAAGTACACCTGTTTTCCAGGTGCGTTAACGCAAGCTGTATTCAGCCCAAGCTGTTGCCAATGTGCATCTCGAGCGAACACCATTAATGGCCCTGGAGAGCTCTTTGCAATGGACGTGGGTATTGAGAGAGAGGAGCAAAACGCATCTAAACATTTTGCTTTGACAAAGGGATGGGGGTTTAATTGCATGCACAGCATACAGTGTGTTTGCTTCTAAAACAGAATTTAAATTCATGTCGCAAGTGAGTATTAATAACGTGGATAACTGGGTAAAATTTAAACAGATCCATTAACGCGGGGACACATTAGCTAGAGGATGGATGTGAGTCCATAGCGATCCTTAGGCAAGGTATTAAAAATAATAGATGGAGAGTGTCGCAGCAGCAATACCTTCTTCAGCACGTAGTTTCCTGCGTCTTTCTCCTTGGGTCTCTGTGTGAYAAGTCTTTTTTCTTTTCCCCAACTCCATGAGGTGTGCAATTGCTTCCACTCCCTAAACAAAAGCTGCAGCACCTGGTGACTGAAAGAAAAAGCACCAGTAAAACTCAGTGGTGCTTTAAGGTTCGCACAGCCCTGACGTTGCTTTATTTATAATCAGCACCTCTTATTAATTTAAAATGTCGGGATTATCAGTGTAACCCTGTACCTTCCCTTTGTCTGGAATAACAGACACGAGTCATTCTCACAGTTAAGCTCCCTGCTCTATTCTTGGCTCCCCTCGCGCTGGAGATGACAGGTTAATAGCTACCCTGCGTGAAGGGGGCRACATGTCAATGCCTCGTCTTCTGTRCGTGTGAAAACATCAGTGCTTTTCCTGGAAATGTTCCCGAATCGGCAGGGTTTGGGTGCCGCCGCGGTCCCCGGTGACGCTTTGCTCTGGTGTTTGCCGCAGGGATGACGTGCCAAGCCAGGACGTCCTACACGGAGGACGAGGTGCTGTGGGGCCACCGCTTCTTCCCGGTGATCTCCCTGGAGGAAGGCTTCTTCAAGGTCGACTACTCGCAGTTCCACGCCACCTTCGAGGTGCCCACGCCGCCCTACAGCGTCAAGGAGCAGGAGGAGATGCTGCTCATGTCCTCGCCCCTCATCGCCCCGGCCGTGAGCGACAGCAAGGAGAGGAACAATTCCGTGGAGTGCCTGGACGGGCTGGACGACGTGGGCACCAAGCTGCCCTCCAAGCTGCAGAAAATCACGGGGCGGGAGGACTTCCCCAAAAAACTCTTGCGGATGAGCTCGACGACCTCGGAGAAGGCCTACAGCATGGGCGACTTGCCCATGAAGCTGCAGCGGATAAGCTCGGTGCCCGGCAACTCGGAGGAGAAACTGGCGTCCAAGACGCCCAAGATGCTGTCGGATCCCATGAGCCAGTCGGTGGCCGAGCTGCCGCCCAAGCTGCAGAGGCTGTCGGGGGGCGGCCGGCTGGAGGGCAACCTGCCGCCCAAGCTCAGGAAGATGAACTCGGACCGCTTCACATAACGCGAGCTCGGCCGGGACGCTGATGCTTACTGGCATGGGGCAGCCCCACACGCATGCAATAACCGTGTGCCAGTCTCGCGGSTAGTTTTATGGCATGATTCCTACTGTATTTATACTGTATATTCCAGAGCATATGGCACGGGGCCTTCTCCGCCCCGSGGTTTCTTAAGAGTGGTAGGTGAAGACATGAGAGTGGGTGACTTGCAGGTAAGTTATAAGTTGATTTGAAAAAGTATTTATTTTTCTTTTTCCTGCTGTAGGTTGTGTGGTTTTGTTCAGCCAAGTAGTTACGGTGCATGGTTTTTCCTTACAAGAAGCCTCACGCGTATTAGCTGGTTCCCAGCACCGCCACCGCCAGCCTCAAATCAACCGCCAGCTTCGGGTTTGCTTTAACATTTCCCTGGGTTTTTCTTTTCCTGCCTCTAGGTTRCCAGGAGACATCAAAATGCATTTCATAAGGCGCTGCTTAAAAGAAGAGTGATTAAGGCTAGGGGAAGAAATAGATTTATAAAATTTACACTTTAGCGATAATTAGTAAAATCCAATTCCTTTCTTAGCTGTAAATCTCTAAGTCAGGAGAGCAGCTGGGAACAGTGGCAGGCGCCTGGTTCCCGGTGCTGTTGGGAGCGCGTGCCATGGAAAGGGCAGGATTCCTCCGGGAGAGCGGTGGGGCAGCTTCAGTGAGCCGGGATTTGGGCCAGGATTCCCATTCTGGGCCACATCGTAGGTGTTTCTAAAATCCTTGAGGCCGCGGTACCTTGGTCTTAGGCCAAGAAGCGTGGCTGGATGGGCACCCACAGCACACGGGGAACCGTCCCGCACGAGCAGTGTTCATGTTTGCTGGGTAGGCACTGCCAGCAGACGTCCGGATCAATGGAAAAATCCTTCCTTTCCATGGCRGGCGGCTGCACGGAGCAGGACCAGGCCGTGACTGGCAGCAAAGCCATCCCGTGTGAGATGGTAGTGGTGGAAAGGGCACCTCCGGCCCCGGGAAGGCAAGAAAATCCATTGTCCCACTGGGAGCAGGGGAAATCTGTGCATTGAGTGAAGTCGAAGTCACTTAAAAAGAGGTAAAAGGGAGAAATTGCCCCTGTAAGGGGTGTTGGCAGCAGGGCGGCTGCGAGACACAGTGGCCTGCATAAAAAAACGCTCCGAAAGTACGGGAAGCACTGGGAAAGCATTCTCGTTCGGTTAAATTAATTCCATGGGAAGTGCTCAGTTATGACGAATTCAAAATCTTGATTTTTTTTTTTTTTTTTAATTGAAATATTCGCCTGTCCTTGGTGGGCGCGTGGTTGCCGCGGCGTGTGGCTGTGCTGCAGTGCAGCCTGTACGTGAAGGCTGCCACTTGTGTCCTTGCTGCGTGGGAGTGGAAGTGCCGACAAGGGTGCCGGCTCCCTGCGGGAATTCCCGCTCGGGACTCTCTGCTCCTTACTAGCTCATTTCTGTGCCACTTTCCGTTGCCCCGTCGCACAGCCGGTCTGTGTCCCCCGCTCCGCGCGCGCCCGCTCCGCTGTAAAGTGTACATAGTCGGACGAGAGCAACTAAGTGCATTTTCTGGCATGCAGTCTATAACTGTATAAATGTACAAGTTTATTTGAATTATATGAAATAACAGACTCTTGTATTCCTTAATACTGCAAGCTCAGTTTTATCTAAAGCTATATTAAACTTGAAAAAAACGTTCGGTTTAAATGTCCCGGTGTCTTTGTCTTTGATCTGGTCCAGTTTGGGTTATTTTAATACGTGACTGAGCAGCCGAGCTGTGGAAGGGCTCTGATTTCCCATTTTTTTTGGGTGGGAAAAGATCACCTCTTGATTGCCCTTCACGACAGCAAAAATGCAACACCCATCACTGGAGCTGGGCTGAAGTCGGGGCTTTTGAGCCTGGTCCTGCTGCTTTTGCCTGCAGAAGACCCCGTCCTGCCATTCCCGACCTCAGCAGCTTGCCAGATTTCCAGGTGCTCTTCCACCTCGGAGTATTACTCTGCTCTTTGGGGATAAAAAACCTAGGTTCATTCACACTTTGCAGTAAAATTAACTTAATTTTTTAAAATACATTAGCAAAGTTCTCCTTTGACAGCACAAGAGAATGTATTTTGCTCTCCTTGTAATAAACGTGTTCCAATTTTGTTGCTGTTGTTTCATACAAAGGGCGGAAAGAGCCTCGCTGTTCGTTGCAGCACGAGCGCCGAGCCGCTGCATGAACAGAGGTGGCGTTTGCAGGGGCCRCTCCGCACCGGGGCCGGGGGTCCCGGCTGCTGCGGACGCTCCGTCGGGATTTCTCCAYGTCGGGAATGGGAGCAGCGCTCCGTGGGAGACACGGGCTGCCGTCGAGACCGTGGGTGAGCCRTTATTGATAACGGGTTGCAGAGCTCCAGTGACATCACTTACAGTTTCCTTTYCAGGAGGAGGCAGGAGCTGCTTGCCGAAGATCACTTCTCGTTTATTTCTGCTAGCCACGTGGCTGATGCGGCGGTCCAGCAGGCGCGTGCCACGCGCGTTTGCAAGCAGGCCATGGGCACGCGGTGCTACCCATGTGCAGTGCGTGCACACAGCGTGCCAGGCACGAGCACGGCACACGCGGGGACGCGCTCGGCCCGYGCACAGACGCTGCAGCTCACGGGCACAGGGGCAGCAGAGAGGGGCCCTGCCAGCACCTACCACGGAGCAAGGAATAAGCAAAAGAAATTAAATGCTGGTAAAGGCAGCAGAAAAAAAAACACCAAGGGTTGAGGGAGCTGGTGCGGGCACGAGGGCACCGTGGCTTGTGGCCAGGGCTCGCTGGTCACGGGTGGTTTTCTGTGTCTCCCACAGAGATGCTGCTGCTGCTGCTAGACCCTGCTGTGCACTGGGGGCCTTGTGCTGGCCACGCAACCATGTCTTCTTTCCTAAGGAGGTGAAACGCTGCACATTCACACCTGCCTCGTCCAAATGCATCCCTTTGGCTCGCATCCCTTTGGCTTGCCGCAGCGGCTGGGGCTGCACGCGGGGCAGCACGTGAGCCTCGTGCCAGCGTGTGCGTCCTGCTCGGCACGCTGGGGAGCAGCGGGAGCACAGGCGGGAGCGCCCAGCGCGGGGCGAGTCCCGCAGCCCCTCACACGGGACCGCGTAAACGGGATAAACGGGAGGGAGATGCTGCTGCACCGGGAGCCGGGAGCTCTGGGCAGCTCAGGAGCTCTGCTCCCAGGGAGAGCTAATTTCTCATTAAACCAGAGCGATKTCACAGGTGAAAACACAGGTTGCGTTTTTACCCCTCAGTCCCCGTGTTTTTCTAGTCGCTTGGCAGCAGCAGCGATTCCCCTTGCTGGCCGTGAGCAGCCTTCGGTCGCAGCGCCAACCCCTGCACTGCCTGGCCACGTGCTTGGCAAAACGAGACCCTTGGTGCCTGCCGGGTTTCCATGGCGACGGACCAGAATCAGCGTGTTTGGGTCCTGCCTGCGTGCAGCTCCGTGCCCGGGTCCCGCTGCCCGCGGTGGGGACGCGGCCGGGCAGCGGGAAGGCGCCCTGCAAACCGCGCCGGGAGCCGGCCTGCCAAAGGGCTGCCACAGGGMAAAGCAAAACTCGTCGCAGGTTTGGTCTTACCGATGTGCTGCAGTCGCAAATGGTGAAGTCCACCCGTGACCCACACAGGCTTTAGAAAATACCAAACCAGAGCCTGCATGCAGACACCGGACTGAAAGGACATGCAATTTGGGGGCTTGTAAAAAATGCATTTTCTAAAATACCCTTTTCTTGGTGCCCAGTTGGGACGCAGTTCCCTTTCTAGCGTGCTCTTRGGCAGTTTTCCAGGTGCACTCGTGGATCAGCAGCGTGTCCGGAGCTGTGCGAGCTCCAGGGCTCATCCCAGCTCCCGAGGGGCCACCCTCGTGCAGCGCCTTGGATATTCAGCACCCAAAGGGTCTGCCGGAGCAGGGGATGCCAGGGGCACCAGGCTGGCGTGCAGCTGCTTGTAAAGGTATAGGCTTCCCAAGCTATACATTATTTGCATCATTTTTCCGGAGCTTTTAAGAGCGCTTCGAAAGACATCTGCACAGTCGGCTCCAGCTGTGCCTGACACAGCATTTCTTGGGAAGCAGTGCATTTGTTGAAGCTCTTTCTGTCCCAGTCACCTGCTCCCTGATGACAACTGCTCCCACCCAGAGCCTTTCCAGGCGGCCCGAACCTGGGTTAGCTCCTGTTTTGGGCAAGCAGAACACAGCCCTGCGTGCAGACACCCTCCCTCTCCTCTGCGTTTCCGTGCTGAAAGGAAATCTTGGTCTGATTAAGTAACAAGCTATTTTCTGTTGTTTTTATCAGACCCTTCTCCACCTTATCTTCTTCGCAGCCTATTAGTGTGGTGTCGCTGGCCGTGCTGCAGCGAGGGGSACATGCCAGCCTTATCTGCTGCCCTGGCATCTGGCCATGGGCACAGCTCAYCCTGAACACGCCAGGGCTTGGGGCGAGGTGCTGAGTGTGCTGCGTGGGACACCGCGGGCACCCGGCCCCTTTCTCCCCTGGAAATCAATAGGCACACTCCCAGCCTTGCGTTATTTTGTTCCAAAAATACCTCACTGAGGTCCTTTAAATGGGAATTATCACAGCTAAATTAAGCATGCCAGCACAAGCATAGCATAAGAAGCATCTCACGAATGCGAGCGATAAATAATAAGCACTTGGGAGCCCTCCTTTCCAAAGCTGCATGGGGTTAGTGCTCCATACGTACAAATGAYGGAAGGGACATTTCACAGAAAACATATTTTCTCATAAGCCTAGATGGCGAACCCGATCATGAAATGCATATTGTATAATTTTAAAAAGCGTGTGTAGTTGTAATGCATCCTTACCTTCTTATGTAAGAACATTATTATCTTTCAGTAAGATATATTTTTAAAGATTTGAAACTAGCACACTTGAAACATCCTCTGTTCTTCTAAGACCATCTTAGTCTAGCATTATTGACGACCTTACTTTCTAATCTATTAAATAAAATAACAGAATAGCAAGCATACATATTCAGAGGCCAGAAAACCCTGCAACTTACAGAGGGGGCAAAATTTCTTAGGAAGAGGCACTTAAGTTTCAAAATGCTTTTGTAKGCAGGCTAATCTGCAATGCATTTATGTGTGCGTCGGCGTCTCTGTGCCTGTATACATACATATATATATATCTTTATATATACATATATATGTCTTTTTATATTTTATATATATATATATACACACACACACAAAACAGAGCAAAACCTCCTATAAACTCATCAGAATGCCATACATCTACACTTGCATTTAAAACCCCACCAGAGAGAAACAATAAGGATATTTGCTGAGTTTTTTCCGGGAGAAAAGCAAGAAGCAAGCCTCTAGCTTATAGGAAACAAGAAGTGCAGGGGGCAGGGGGTATTTGCTGCAGCCCTAGGGAGCTTGTCAAGCCTCTCCCTTCCCCGTTTGCTCGGGGCTACCCAAGGCTACGAGTGCAGAGCCTGTGGGCCGAGCTCCTGCCCCTGTTAAAGCAATGAAAACGCCACGAAATCRGTGAAAATCCTGCAGTGAAAATGCTGCTCAAGCGGCACTCGGGTGCTTGCTGCGGAGGGAGGCAGCGGCCGCGTGCGCTGCCGCGCTGCACGCGTGCCCGATGCCCGCAGCGCCGGCACCGCGCCGCCCACGCGCAGCAAGCCGGCGCCGGGAAATACCATTTTCGGYGGTTTGGTCATGGAGGGTCATTTCTAAGTGCAACTTTAAATCTCAATTGAAGAGGAATAAAATATGAATATGAATAAAACACAATGAAACCCTGAAACCTGATTAAGTTTAATAAGCTTTCATTCTTTCCCCCTCTCTTTCATGATAGCTYGCGGACACGTTAAGTGCCAAACTCCAGCTTAACGCTGCTCGGCGAGCTGCACAGGCTTTGCCGGCAATAAAAACCAGTCCTTGCCGGCAAAGGGAGAATCCTGGGTTACCTTTCGCTGCAGCCAGCGCGAGGGCAGCAGCAAGGCTGCCAGCCGGCCCCTTGCCGTGGTGCTTCCAGCTCCTCTCCGGAAGTGGAGCGCTTCCATCCCCATCCCCAAGCCCAGCTCTATGTTCCCTTTGGAGACCAAAGCCCATGGAAGGTCCCAGATAGTCGCACAGAAGGTCCCACCAGCCCCAAGGAAGGTCTCGGGCAGTCCAACAGAAGGATCCATAGCCCCAAGGAAGGTCCCAGCTCCTCCACGGCTGCACCTGGCACAGTTCTCCTCGCGTTTCTCCCTTTGGAGAAGGGATCCCGACGGCACACCAGGGTTGATGAGCACWTGGATGCTCTCAAAGGGCTGAAGATCAGGAAGCTGTGGGGGTTGAAGCTCTCCAAGCAGACAAGGCCCACCAAGCTTTRGAGCAAAGACAAAGCTGCAAAGCATTAAAACCTGTGTGGAACGCACACGCCTGGGCTCATTTCACTGAGCTCAGCTTCTGTGCAGCCTCCTGCTGCCTCTACCGCTCACGCCTGGATTGCACTGCTGGCTTTTCAACACTTTTTCTTGGCCTTCCGTTGCAGCCCCCCACCCCTGCAATGCTGGGCAGCTTTTTGCTGCATTCCCAGGGATTTGGCCATTCCTATGGAAACACCGCTCAGCGCCAAGGCCCAGACTAATTAGCACCCAGGTTCAAGGACAGCGAGGTCTGCCTTAACCCAGAGGTCCCTCTTTGAAAGAGAAAAGAAAATATGAGACCA